AGCATGCTTGTTGCATAGATGTAGCCCAGAACCAGGTGGCAAAGTTTAGGCACTCTGTGCTTGTTGAATCAACCCTAATGCTATGCAAGATTTCCTGCAGGACCCTGTGATAGAGCTCACACTTCAAGAAAATGGGAGTAGCAAGTCCTGTCACTGTCATCCCCAGACTGTACAGGGTCTGTGTCTGGTACTTCCACCTTGCAGTGCTGCAGCAAATCTGGCTGGCTGGGGATATTGTTCCTACAGCTCACAAGAACAGCTGTGTGAAAGACGTTTTTGAAAGCAATTCTAGCTGCAAGGATGCTGCCTTCATTTACTTTCTGGTTTGCTTTCATTTTTACAGGACTGAGTTTGTTTCAGCTTATGAAGCCTTCCTCTGTTACAAAAAGAAAAAGGACACAGTCAAAAGACCTGCCTTGTGCCCCATAACACCATCACTGTTTCTGCCAAACACCCTTGTCCCAGAAGTAAGAGTCTTCTGTCTTCTGCAACAATGCTGGCTGTCCACATATGCTCAGCTCCCCATTTAAATGTGTATCATCTCTTTTCCACCAGCTTTTTAACTAGAGGAGAAGCATTCAAATTCAGCCAACTACACGCTTTTACAAAGCATTGAGATGTACAGCCTGCCTGAGTGAAAACATGCATAAAAAAAATCTGTCATGCATGCAAACTACTATTATGTACTAAATAGAAATCAATATTTAAGGAGGAATTAGTGGTCCAGGTTTTAGAATACTAAACACCAGTTAATCAGTTAATGTGATTCATGCATACCTATAGTGTTCCATTTTGCAAAGCTCAATTATAATTACCCCCAAAGCTGTCTATCAGAGTTAATAACTCCATCTTTCAATATGATTTTCAAATTGAATTTTCAGTCTTTGAAACTGTTTTCACCTGCCTTATGAAAACATTACTGTCTTGATAATTAAAATTAAAATTTTTTAAAAATCTATGTAAGGGTTTATGTAAAAAAGGACTATCACCAAAAAAAATAATCATACCCAGAACTCTCTCTTTCTTCCAAGGAGTTCTCAGCTAGGTGTTTTGGTAGCAGGGGTCAGGGCAGTGCCAGAAACAGTAAAACAAAAGGCAGGTTTTCAGAATGGGCAAAGGAGTGGAATATACAAAACTTGACTTCATCATGCCATACCAAAAGTCCACCTAGCCTTATATCCTGTCCTTAACAGAGGCCAAAACAGAGAGCTAGAGCAGCAGCAACTTGGACAACGTATGTGATTGTTTCCACTCAGCATCCACCTCATCTCCAGCTTTGTACAGCCTAAGGAATTCTGAACTTTGATTTGGCTTTTATACATTTACCAATCCTCAGTTCATCTCTCTTCATTTTCCCTAAATACAGCTATTTAAGCATCCAAAATTCCTCATGGTACAGAGTTCCACAGGTTACCCAGATGTTGCACAAAAGTGTTTTACAAAGAGCCAGGCCTCCTCCTAGTATCACCTGATGATGCCCATTTCTTAAAACGTAAATAACAAATAACAACTTAAGCTTGTCCACTCCCTCCAGCCACCCATGATCTTTTTTGCACCCTGGTCTGACCTCCCTATCCCTATCCATAAGGGACCCTGCTTTAAGGAGGAGGTTAGATTTGCCAAGCCTCTGAGGTCTTTTCCAAGCTGAATGATTCTATGGTTTCACAGATTTCTGTGCTTTCCCTCTACAATTTTTCTTCTTCCATCCAGATGAATTCCAGCCAATTTAATTGTTCCTTCTCCAGAAACCACCTGATACCTTCTGGGCTTTTTGCTCAGAGTTCATCACCATCTCCAGAAATTTAGGACTGGTTTTCTTCAGAGCTCTCAAAAGTTCTCTCTTCTATGGGAAAAATAGCTGAAGCATACAGATTGCAACCCATTACTGGTGAAGGAGGCAAAATTTTAAAATTTTGTAAAGTTTTTGAAAGAGATCTTATGAGGCACTCAGATATCGAAGCACACAATGCTGTAACATTCCCTGCTTGTTGCCATCGTACTGCACATCTTCCACACCTTCTCATTGATTTCTCATGGTCAACTCCTCACAGCACTGCCTCCTTCTTCTTCACAGCCCAGCCAACAAACAGCAGCTCTCTCCTCAGCCAGCTAACCCACCCTTTTATAGCACTCATCCTCACTGGACACAGCTGTGGTCTGTTAAGGGCAGGCCTGCTCCTAACCTTTGGTGATTAGCACAGCTGCAACTCATCAGGTATGACACTACCTTCTGCACTGTCTTTATTTTCTTACATTCTATCCCTCCACACCTGCTTTCAGGAGCACAGCTGCTGAGTAACATCAGCATCTTCACAAGACCAAAATCAGTGACTGGCTACAGAAATCAATGAATGGGGAAAAGTGGGCACCTAAAGACTGGAACACACAAACATCCACATACTGAATGCAGTAGGAAGAGTCAACACAAAGTCCTAAAGCTGAGACATGTTCCAGCTCTCAAAAAATAATTTCCTTCTGTCTTTAAACTAGGGAAAGTGTAGGAGCTCTGAGTGCAAATTCTCTTTCTCAATGATGAGGAGCAACAGGAATGCTGCGGGCACAAGCATCTGCAAGGAAAGTGTTGTTATTTTTTTCCAAAAGCACACAGCCAGCGTATGAGCTGGGAGTGGAGCATCAAGAGTCCCAGCTGAGTGCCCCCACCTCTACATAAAGTTTCCATGTCTAGCAAAACCATTTGCCCTACAAATCAGCACTGACCTACACTGCCCCAATTGTTTGGTACAGCACTGTTCTGATGGGTATGCTAGAATTTCACGTCAGATTACAGACAATCACTGTCATGTAAGTGTCATGATCAAAAGCCTCTTTTCCTGGAAACAGCTACCAAGGAAGTTTTCCTCATTTATACAAGTAAGTTTGGAGTATGATTATTCTTTCCACACTCCTGTTTAACACATATGCAGACAAAGTTTATACCAGAACTCATCTTCTTCTATACAGCAGAAAAGTGTATATTTACTTCTCTTACTTTCAAAAGCAATTTCTTAAACATTAGGCCATTGTGAAAAGCCAAAAAATGCCATAGCTTGTAAAGCCTTTGGTACATATCGTATTGAGTATTCTGCTCACTATGGAAGCTAAGCAAATATGAGGCAAATTCGGTAGATTTCATTCAGGAGGCAAAGGGATTTGGTTTACATCAAATTCAGTGGTCACTAATCCCACTCTCACTGTCCTCTTCTGTGTAAGCAACCCAAATATTTAAATTCTTCAAATGGTAAAGTTCAGCATCTTGAGCCCTGTTAAATCTTATAAGCCAAAGCAAATTTCATTTCTCTGATTAAATAGAAAGTATTTACAAAAATCATAAATAAATAATGTGTCTGAGTTTTTCTTGTTCTCTTTCATTCTACCTGATTAAGCACTTTTTACTTTGACATCATCAAATGAATGATGTTTTCGCTATGTGTTTTTCTCCAAAATAAAAGGCAGTCATTAAAATGCCTTTTCCTTCTTTCTTCTGAAGTATTTCACGCCCACTTTTGCATCTCTGCAGTAAACAGCACTGAAGGCAGTGGGCACAAAATGGTGCCATATGTGCTGGCCACCATCAGCCTTGGGATATTAGAAAATACAAAGCTGGGGGCATGGGTAAGTTAAGTAAGCCAAAGGACTTCTCCTCAATTCAGTCATGAACCAATTGATGGCAGGAGAATGCTGAGTCTCAGAGCCCACCTGAAGCTTGGTAGGTCACCCCTTATATTTTCAGATGCAATTATTCACTGCAGCTCTCTTCAAAATAACCATCTCTGAATAATGCCCAAGAAGAAACACCACCATTTGAAAACAAAGACTACTAATGCATTTGCTCATGTTCTAAACCAGAAAACAATGGCTAACTTTGAAAAAAGCACAAAAAAGAAAGCAACTTTGAGAGCAATAAAAGGAAATGCAGCATTTCTAGAGCACAGGTCTCTCTGCTGCCTTCTAAGGTAGTTGTGAAGATGATGAAATCACACTGTTGCATAAGGAAACACAACAAAATGAGACCTGAGATCCTTGTCTCATGTCACTACCCTTCTGTGTGCAACAGCAGGCTGAATACTAGTTGAGCCATTTCATCAGTTCGATCAAAACTCTATATTACTGCTATACAAGTTTCTTCAGAAATCTCACTATCACAGTGAAAAAAAGTTCAAAGGTAAGGCTGTTATTTTTCTTTATGAGTAACAAAAATGTATAAATTATAGAAACGTTACAGAAGAGGAATATATGTCCTTCTAAAAGCAAGGCACACTGCCACAGGAGTGAATTAGATATTTTTAAAATGGCAACTCAAGCTTGTGTAGAAAACAAGTACCTTAGTTTCTCATTTTAACAACAATAAAATACTATGGGAAACAGATGCAAGTTACACAGTATCCTTTTCACCAATGTGCCTGTGCCATGTAAAGTGCATTTACAATGAGCTGAAAAGAATTTAAATCACTGCATACTCAATCCCAGAGGCTGCTGCTCAGATTAATCCTGACCCAGAAAAAGAGCCAAGCACATGCTGAACTTTGAGTAAATAAATAGTCACAGCTAATCACAGGCCATACACTTTCATGACAAATGATGTAGAGCTTGTCCCCAAAAGAATGAACAAAAAAAACCAACCTGGCATGGCAGCAGCAACCCCAATTTCATCAGCCCTGTGCATAACTACAACATAAACTGATTGCTTCCAACTTCCTGTTGCAGAAGCTACCATCTGATTTTACAGAGAGACATGCACTTTGGAATAAAGACAAAAAAATTACCTCATATTTATAGCAAGGAAGGAGCTTACACATCAGGAGTTACTGCAGTTAGCTGACTGAGTTCACACTTTTGTCACAAGCAGCTTGCCTGTACACCCACACGTTAAGGTGTTAATAGCCTTGCTATTCATAAGTTGTTGGAATTTTGTTTTGCTTGGGTCTTTTTTATCAACCTAGATTTGTAATGAACTGCAAAACGAAGAAGAATTGGGAAAAGAAAGAAAATAATAATGGTACCTGAAGGCCCTCTATGGCTAATCTAAGCATGCTTGGTGTGAGCTTGGAGGCCTGCTTGAAGGTGAAGTTGCTCCAGTCTATAATCAAAACAAATCCATTCACTTGCAGCTCAGGGTCTTCTATCATGGCTTCTAAAGAAAGAAGTATGGCACGCAGAATATCCACCAGCGTGTACCTGAGAATGGGAAGAGGAGATTTGGTTAGGAAAGGAGCAACAACCACACAGGTGGAGAAGTTCTGAGCAGTCTGCACCCTTTGTTAGAAGTTTAAATCAAAGATTGCAAATGTGCCCTGAGAAGTGCCTAAAGCTGGGAAATCTTCAAAAGCTCAATTAGTTGAGCTCGTCTTCTGGAGCAGAATTATGTACCTGTAGACCATCAGCCAGCCAGAACAAACTACAAGAATGTAACACATCAAAAACACATTTGAACTTCTCCATAGTATCCTAAGCTGCCTTAGTATCTTTATGTGGAATGCATTAATAAAAATAATTGCATTGTCTGTGTAAGAACTTCTACACAAATTGTATTTTTCTAAAATCATAATGGTACAAAAACCTGAGACTAATACTAGAAGTGTAGATCCAAAGTCTCCTCCTATATTTTCCTAAGGAAATGAAATAATAGGTCCTAAAAAATTATCAACTGAAATTGGGAATTTCCACATGCTCTCCTTATCTCACTCTCTGTGTAAATTTTTCTCTTAAATCCACAAGTGCAGAAGGCTGATTACTCAAGGATCTTAAAAGCAGAAGGTAACACACACTAGGGCTTTGAGGTGTTTGTCTACTGAAGGTGCCCCTGTTCATGGCAGGAGAGTTAGAACTGGACGATCTTCCAACCTAAAACATTCTAGGATTGTGGGATTTTATAAACAGTTATCAAAACAGACATAAATTTGCCAGTCAACACCACAATATTAAATGAGGCACTAGAAAGTTAAACATGAAAAATATCAGAAATACAAATATTCCAGAAATGAAAGAGTTAAATATTCAGTGTACAGATATTTTTAAGCAAAGCTCTTTAAATGCCTTTCATGATGACATCAAACAGAAGTTTTCAAAATTGTGAGTCCCCTAGAGAATTCTTCACCATTCTGCGCATGTAGCAAAGAGCATGTGTGCCTACTTAGAAATTAAATTAAATTATACTGAATTTGACTTGCTGTAATACAAAAAGTACACTGCTCTGTTGTGGACATAACTGTATTTTGAAAATATCTGCAAAAGGAAATAACACAAGTGAAATTTATCTGTTGTAGCTGACTCCTCCCATCTTTCATCTTTGTTTATTTAGCCAACTAAAACTCTGTGAACTTCCAACTATGCATTCATAGGAAAGGGATCAATAAAGGACTCTCCTAATGTCTGAACAGGAGAAAGTGTGTTTTCTCCAGAAAACAAAAAGGGAAGCGTTAAAAGTAATTTTATAAAAACAAAATTCTTCCTTTCATTTTAGAGATACTTTGGTTTTTTATTTTTGTTCGATTGACAGGGATAAAATTTTTCATATTCACTCCTTTGAACTTTTCTGAGATTTAACTCTTTTCTAATGCTTTATTTTTATGAGATCTAAGGTTTACAGGAAGTTTGGAATGCCTTGGTCTGAGGACAGTTTTGACCACAGCTCATACAAGGAACAGACATTAAAAATGTTTAAATTCTAAAATTAGCCTCAACCCCATCTGACATTTAGGTTATCCCATTCAAAAGATCTCATTCTCCAGAAGGGCTCCACAGTGCAGAACCCTACATTCTGTCCTGGAATAAGGGTCCCAAGTTCCAGATGTGCATCTCTACTGTCCTCCCTAAGGAGTTTAAGGAGATTTCACATGCCTTGGATTAACAGCTTCCTAGTGGCACAAGATTGCTAGAAATCTGGAGCATCAGACATAAAGATTCTTTGTTTATGAGGCCAGTCAGCTCTCTAAGACTGACCTAAAAATGCTTTTTTTTATGTATACCTAAGAGTCCAATACAAGATGTATACACGTAAACAGAAATACGTGTTTAATTCATTTAAGTAAATGGGAAAACTGTCAGGCAGCAATGGGGACAGGATTTCAGCTACCACAGAGACTAAATAAGAGTCACAGGGCTGGGTCTCCACAAATCTGTGGCATATTCACCACCACCATATTTCCTACTGTAGGTCTAGTGTAAGAAATACAGTGCACAATAACAATACTATTTATGTTCACTCAGTGAAAATAAGAGAGAAGCCCTGCATAAAACCAGTCCAGCTAAAAGCAATCAAGAATGCTTTCTGCCAGAGGGAGGTACCTGAAGTATTCTTAAAGTCTAAAAAGCTACATCAGGAGTACACAGGGACATGGCACTAGCAATCAAGCTTCTCACCTCAAATACCCTTCAGGGCAATTAGCTGGAGAGAAGATTGGAGCTATTCTTCGTTCTGTACTGGATCTCTTCTCTTGGTTTCAATACTTTACTTAAGTACAGTGCAGAGCACCAGAGACAAATCCATTAGTGAGTATTTAAAGCAGCTTTTACTCTGAACACATGCTAAGGCACCAGAAATGTAAACCTGGTGTGGTAGATGAAATCTCAGGTGATGCAAAATGCTGAGTATTGAAAGTATCAGCTAAGCAGCTCAAGCAAAAAACCATGGCTGAAGAAATTGCACAGAAGCTTTCACACAGAACAGAGTTATTTGTGTAAAGACTTATCTTTAATCCGTTCCAGCCCCATTTTTGGACATTTCACCTCACTGCTACCACTAGGATGCACAGGCTCTGCCAGTCCACTCCTGACTGGACTTTGGGGAAATCAAAATACTATGTAAAAAGAAGATGGAAAAAATTACTCTGGAATTTATTGCCGAAACTTCTGTTCCACACTGAAATTACTTTCCAGACAGATACAGAAATATGACCAATAAAAAGTGAGAAACACAGGACAAGCTAGTGAGTGTGAAATGCATTTGGTCCAAGGCAGCTTTGACTGCCTTTCTACTTTGAAGAAAAAAAAGAAAATATTAGCCTTTAATTTGAAGGGACTATGGTGTACAGTCTGAGTGGAAGATGGTTCTGTTTTATTCTTACCAATCTGTGCTAAGTAAAAACATGTACTTAAGGAACAGCAAGCCACACATTTTGCCCTGGCACCAGTTTTCTAATGACTTGCCCCAGTGCTGTCAGATATGTAGGGTGTGCTGGGCCCAACTGGCTGCAGTGCATGTTCTGTAGCAGCCTGAAGTTCTGCTGTGAATAAATAGATCCTAATTTATTTATGGCTAAATCCAGTTGCATTCCCTTGCTTAAACAGACTCTTATGGGACATATTGTAGCTAGCAAGATATTACTAATTGCTAGGATAATCAAAAACTCACAGTTAATTTAAATTTATTTAATGCCTTCTATTTATAGAACCATGCTTAATTCAATGGAAAACTTGGTCAAGTTTTTTAGTCCTGTTATTAATGTGAGTAACAAATGCTGGAAATATGTTAGCACATATATAATGCACTCTTAATGTTCCTTTTTTATGTGAGTCCTAGTTTGAGACTGACTGAAGCAGGGACTAGTGTGCAAGACATACTCTGTTACCTCTTGAAAATTTTCATTAGGTTGGCTTGAAAATAATAGAGCCTGAGAAGGTGTGACAAGTTAGCAGCCACACTGACAGTGATTCTTTCAAATGCTTTGGGACAGCTACCATTTCTACCCCAACAGTGACACAGCTTTCGAGGGAAATGCCTCACTGGGGTCTTTATTTGTCAAAAACAGAAGACCTCAAACAATTTACTGAGCATCCCACTCTCTTGTAATTTAACAGTGGCAGCAATTTCCCTTCTGCAGAAAAGAAAAGTTATGAGATTTTTTTTTTTTTTTGTGAGACATGAACAGATTCAACATGTTTCCAAGGATTTCTGGGGAAAACAGTCTGGAAGACATGGCTGTCAAGTCTTGGTAATACTTCACCAGGACCTTTCACCTTTACCTCTAAGTTATGTGGTCTAAGCATCCTGTTGTGTGCATCCACTGTGACCTCCACCAGGCCAACATGAAGAGAAGAGACAGGGAGAATGCAGGGTACAGATGTCTCATGTCAAACTCAGCTGTGTCAGCTGTTTTCAATACCTTATGCTCTTGATGATGAGTGGCATCAGCCATATCATCTGTTTAACCAGATTCTGGTTCCAGTCAATTCACTTTTGCCCTGAGTAACAGATAATCTGATTCAGCAGAGTTACCCTACTATCTCTATGGCTACTTGTCATGTCCTCCCTAAAAGAAAGAAATTTGAAGTAATTTTGAGAGTTAGGACTGAATGGCATCAATCTGCCTCTCAGGATATGGAATAGAAGAGATAAATAGAAAGTCTCCTTTGCTTGAATTTCAGCCATATGTCTCTTGAAGGTCTGAGACACATAAAGAACGCACAGTCTGTATTTTAAGCTCCTCACCATTTGGACAAGAAAAGGCTTCTGTCAAATGAGCTCTTGTGCCACTGATTTAAAAGAGAAAGCTAGTCAAGTCTCTGAACCATCATACCATCTCTAAGGTACTGCTCTGGCTCAATATTTTTAGAATTTCACCAAAACAAGAGCCCTCAAGATACACAAAGGAGTACTTTGAAATGGTGCCTCATATCTCCTTGGTTTGTCAGTCTGGGTACAGATTTGAATACTGAGCAGATGGGGGATTGAAAGTTCTCTTATGGCTATTCTGCTGAAATAGTGGCAGCATGCCCTGAGGATATCTTATTCTACATACAAAAAGCACCACCACTGTTACAAAAAATGCAAAGAAAAAACAGAAATATTTTCAAGTATTTTACCAGATTAGCTTTTAGATTCAGATTTAATACCATTAATTATGCCACATATTAGCCCAGTGGCTAACAGTCACAGCCACAGATGAAGATTCAGTGGATCTAAATTTTACATTGATTATAAAGCTCCCTAGCCAAAACCCCTACAGTCTAAATACAGGTGATGATAGGCAGATAGGGATACCTGGGAGAAAACTAGGAAACAATAAAACAGCATCAGTCAGCAGGAGTAACTGTAGCAAAAATGACAGTGTTTACACTAGTTAATAGTTATCATTTGGAACATATAACTTCCAAACAAAAATTGGCTCTGCTAAACAGTTGGGTTTTTTACTGTTAATATGTTACTACTGTTAGCATTGCTATTTATTTTGTCATACTGCTTCCATCAGAGTCTGAAAAATACCTTGCCATCTTGCCTGTTGTTTATTGTGAGCTGAGGAGCAGACCAGCCTCCTCATAGCTACACAAGTTACATTTTCATTTTACAGGGGGAAAAGTTTCTAGCACTTGTGCACGTGAAAGCCTAGTTTAGAAAGCAAACCCGTGGACTCCTCTTTGCCCTGCCGTAAACTGTCTGATGCAACAGCAAAACCAGCAGTAAATGAGTGCAGGGGATTTACATGTTCACTGAGGATGGTGTGAGCTGTGACACCCACAGAACTAGGCACCATTTCACTTTTCTAATGCACTTTCTAGGGAAAAAACCTGATATAATTAATACCAGAAAGGTTTCAAACACAGCATAAAAACGAACTGATATTCCTGGGGAATGTGTGTCCAGGTGCCAGGAAGAATACACAACACCTCGCATGACAACAGATCCCTTGAAGTTGAGAGCTGAAGTTGATTGTACTATTAATTGAAAAAAACTTCACCAGCTGGACACATTAGGAGAAAGGGAGTCTTCAAATGCACATAGACACCTACAAGCCAAATGCAGTTCAGAATCAACAATCTGGAAGCTAATAGGGAAGGCTGATCCCTCCCTGAGTGCTATCCAGCTTCCTGGCAGGAATGCCATTGACCTTCATTTTCCCCATAGAACAGACATGGTAGAGAGTTAGGCTGGGTCACACTGAAAAGCTGCTGGGTTACTGAGTGCATAACTTTCACCTTTTTTTTGTTTGTTTGTTTTAAATAACATGTCTGATTGGGTTGTTCAGATGGCAGGACAGCTGGTACGGTTTTCAGGCCCTGCTTTAATTTAATGATTTAACATCTAGTACACAGGCTTGTTTTACCACAGAAATTTTTTGCCTCCCACACTTTTCTTTCTAATTGGAGCTATGTAAATCATAGGCTGACAGTGCTATATAAGTCATCTCCAGTATGTCTGCTATTCATTTAAATAACAAATTGGAAGGGTTTTTTTCTAATTGTTACATCCTGGCCATAACAATTTGCACATATATGATAAAAGTGGAGGTTTGCTGTGCTCTATTAACTTAGTTCATGAAGCCCACAAAGAGAGTCTAACCAGACAGGCTTCAATAAGTAATCCTCCTATTGTTGCTGTAAGAGGAGCACTGGGTTATGTACTGCAATATCTCAAGTCAGTTAAGGCATAAGCTTGAGACATATTGCATAGCAGCCAGGCGTAAGTTCCACAGTGCTCCCCAGGTTCAGCCACGGAGCATCAGATAATGGAAGGCACTAAATTAATTAGAAAAGAAAGTGACCTAGCTCCATTCCCAGATGTGTCACTGACTTGTCATGTGCCTTGGAGCAAGCCACTCCCCGCAGCTGGGCTCCAGCTCTCTCTGCTTTGTCTGAGTGGTCTGTGTGAAAACAAACCCCTCGCTCGGGAGGAGCGGCGTGCCGTGAGCATGCAGGGCTCAAAAGCAGCAGGCACCCAACTGCAAACACGTCCATTAAATACTCTAGTGTACCCCAGCCACTTCGGTGTCATAGCATAAATAATATTCACCATACAGATAGGACTTAATGAAAAAAAAACACAATAAACTCATTGCTGTGTCAGCTGAGCCCATGTACTTTAAATATCAGCATATCCAACATCAAGAAAAAAATAAACCTATTCTTTCTACATGGCAATTATTATTTTAAATGCTACTTTATCTGTGCACTTGAATTCTTGGTATTCTTTTGACTAGGATCAAGTCAAGTAATATTACAAGGGTCCCCCAAAGCTTTAGGATTTTTCTATTAATAAGAAACAACAGTATACAGTAGGTGACGGTACCTTTAACATGGGAACTTCTTCATCATAGACATACAACTTAATAAAAGTCCTAAGCATGCATTTCTTTGCTAATTCTTCCTTCAGGGATTTTTAACAGTTTGTGGAGTCGTTTTTAAAATTAAAAGTTGACCTGCTCCTTTTGTGGGAAACAAGGAAGGTCCTTATCAGAGAAAGGAAACATACTCAGTGAGTCCTTAGCATCATCACCACTGCTCTTCACTCGGCTTTTATGCTTCATCTGCTAGATAAGCAAAGCAGAAAAAGGACACTGGCCCCAGCTCTGCATATATCCATCCACCCTTTCTAGTCGCTACCCTGGCTGTGGGCAGTGCCAGACAGCTTTCTCCTAGTCCCAAGACTTGATTTAATGGGTTAGCAAGGGACAGAAAACTTCTCCCATAGACAGTGTGGGTGTGGCTGACATGCCTGAAGGAAAGGACAGCCAAGGTGGGCCAGCATCCCTCTGGACAGAGACCTGTCCATAGCTGTAACACCAGCCGGGGCAGGGAGCTGTGGGAATGCTCCCTGTGATTGCAATCCACACAACCTGCAAGAGGACAACCAAACAAACACCTGAAGGGCAAACTTAAACATGCCTCTCCCCCAGATCCTGTCCTTTCTATCCACACTGACAGTTACTTTGAGTCTCCCCCAGAGTTTCAAAGTAGCTGAGCTGAGGATACCTGCACTGAGCACTCAGCACTATGTTGGTGGCAATAAGGATGGCAACTTACAAGATTCTAAGCTTTCTCACTAAAAAAGTGAGAAATCAGATCCTACACCTCTACTCAGGTTGGGAGCCGAAGAAAACAGTGCAGTGCTCACAGAAGCAGGTTTTAAGAGTTTAAATGTACTGAAACCAAGCCATTTTTGTGGATATAATTTTAGACTGCAGGAGAAACTGAGCATGACACCCCCACAATGTATTTAGAATAAACAAACAGTGTGACATAATATCAAGCCAATTGCTAAAAAGGGCCTTGATGCGAGACAGCTCTTGGGTCACCCTACTAAATCATTTTCAGGTAAGAGCAGTTCCAAAAAAAAAGATCAGAAAGTGTTCTAGAGACTAGTCTCCAACTTGTTGTCAAAGCTTTGTGTACTCAGATAATTATGCAGAGAATTGACATTGGGAGCAGCATGAGTGGAAGAAGAAGTGGTTACAGGAACTTCCATCCTGGCATTTCTAGGTGGGTCAGGAAGAGCTTTCTTCAGCTGAGGAAAAGGATTCAGAATCTCAGCTTCCTGCACAGGCAAACTTTTCAGCTTAAAAGCCATACTCCTGTTCTACACACAGCATCTCCCACTTTCTCCCATGGCACCTGAGCAGCTCTGTGTGTACTGAAACAGGAAGACCAGCCGAGAGTGCAACCAGCCTTTGTCTGGGGGATAAACACATCATCTACGTGCCAGCTCACTCTGGCTGAGGGGAGGCAGAAGGGTGTAAACCTCCGAGCAGACAGCTGAGAAGAGCACTCCAGCAGTGTCTACCTGCCTCCCAAAATTCACACCCCAAAGGATGAGCCGCTTGAAAGGGCCGTAAGCCACAAAACGCGTTTCTCCTTTATTCTCTCCCTCTGCCTTCCAGGCTGCTGCCCAGCCCCCTGTGGGCAGCGCCGGGTGTGTCCCTGCTGCCCACCCTCTCTCCCTCTGCGCTGGCACCGCTTCCCCACGCATTGCCCGGGGAGAGAAGGGGCTGAGGTGGGCGAGTGGCTCTACTTTTACCTGCTCTGGTCCCAGTTGGCAGCGAAAAGGACGAGGATCTTCCTGCCGTAGTGGTCCAGGTTGGCCAGCCCGCCGGGGAAACCATCCTTCAGCGCTTGCTTGATGCCCGGGTCTGTGGCCTTGAAGCTCTTAAACATGTCCAGGTTCTGCTGGCGATATTCAAAGTATTGGGCCAGGAGGCGAAACGCCTCGAAGTGCTGAAACTTCCTGGCCCGCAGAAACCGCAGGATGAAGGCGTCGTCGGTGCGGAGGAAGCCGATGTCCGGCCGGGTGATGACCATGTCCCGCACCTCCTGGATGTCCTGGTGCAAGGTGTCGGGGTTCTCGTTCAGCTCCAGCCGGGCTTTCTCCAGAGTCTCCGGGGAGAGACCTGCCTGCAAATGAGTCATGGCGCTGCCCTCCTCCTCCTCCCCGGCTCCGCTGCCTGCGCTCCTCAGCCTCCCGGCCGCTCGTCCCCCGCAGGCGGGCTGCCCCGGCACGGCCGCCCGCCGCTCCCCCGCCGCGCCGGGCCTCGCCCCGCCGCTGCCCGGCCCCGCCGCCGCGGCCAGTCCGTCCGCCGAGCTGCGAGCGGCTCGCAGGCAGCCGGGTCCGGGGGGGCTGGCACCGACACTGCCCCCGGGCTGCGGGCGGAGGCGCGTTATCTCTCTGACATAGCGCCCTCCCCGCCGCGGGGTCCAACGCGCCGCATCATCCCCGCGGCCGCTCCGCGGAGGCGCCGAAACCCGCCGGGAGCGGGGCTGCGGGGCTGCCGGCTGCTGCTCAGCGCCCGCCCCCGCCGGTGCCGCTGCCGGTGCGGATCTCGGGCAGGGCGGCAGCGAGGAGCCCGCTCGCTAGGCAGGGCGAGCGGCGCCCGAGGATGCTCCCCTGGCCCGCGGCTGGCAGGGGAGATGCCCTCCCCGGAGCAGCACCATTTACGTAAGATCAGCGCTCACCCCGCTTCAGAAGCGTCTCCCTGGATTTGAGGGAGGGTTGGGAAGGAGGAAAAAAAAAAAAAAAAAAAAAAGCTCCACCACCGCCAAGCTGAAAGAAGCCAGCGAGGAGCAGGAGGAAAGCCGATCCGCAGGTACTTCGCCGGTACTGCTTCCTTCGCCGGTACTGCTTCCGAAGCGCGCCTCCCGCTCGCCGGCGCGGAGCCCGGAGAGCCGAACGGAGCCTCGGCCTGAGGGATGCCCGTGCCCCCCTCCCGCGCCTCCTCCGCTCCCCGCCCCGCTCGCCGCTCGCAGACAGCACCAGCCGGCGCGGGGCTGCCCGCTGCGCGGCCCCGCCTTGTGCGCGCCCCCGCTCGGGCCCGCACCCCCTCCCGCTCGGGCCCGCACCCGCTCACGCTCCCGCCCGGGCGCGCTCCCGCCGCGCCGCGCCCCCGGCCGCGGAGGCAGCGCGGGGCGGGCGCTCCGCTGCTCCCCGCTCTTCGCACCGCGCAGCGCAGCCCGCGGGGCGCGGCGCTCCCGGCGGCGAAGTGGGGCGCGCCTGCAGCGCCGGGGCTGCGCGGAAGGACATGGTGATGGTGATGGTGGTGGTGGTGATGGTGGTGGCGGTGGTGGTGGTGATGGTGGTGGCCCGGTGCGGGGCGGTGGCCGGGGAGATGCGGGGTCAGTGGGGCCACGCGTGCGCCCCCACGGAGCATCCCGCGGGAGTCGGACCAAGCGTCCGGCGTCGAGGTCGTGACAACAGCGAGATGTTGTTCATTAAGCGGTGGTTTTCTGAGCAATCCTCTCTGGGACTAAAAAAAGCAGCCTCTTTTGTGGCCTCGTGTTGGAGGCGGCATGTCTTTAGTTGCTTTATAGTGCGAAGGGCAAAAATATCTTACTTCTGTGTGCAGAATATTTCCCTGAGGAAAGACGTCTTTTTTCATGCAGGAAAGTTTGATGCTGCCGTCTCTTTTGGGGAGAAGTTTCCGCTGAGAAGCATTTGACCTTTGTCTGTAGGACTGGACCTTCCCGATGCAAATGCGCCTGTGAAAATCAACCTTACACAAAAGACATGGCAAACATGGGAAAGCCTGCAACATGTACCTCCTCCTCCTCCTTCCTATGGGAAGGGCAGCTCTTTGGTACTGCATCGGGCTCCTTTCCCAAGGTGACAAAGCCAGAGCACACAGGCTGAATTACTGAAAAGGCACTGAGGCCACTGCTCCATTCAGAGGGTATACATGGAGGATGCACCAGAACAAAGTGTAGGATTGGCTCTCAGACAAATAGCAGGGCTCACAGAAACATTTCAGTGATAGCTTGAGTGGGCTGCAGGCCAGCACCAGGTGCCTGGCAGCAGGAGGGAGCCCTCTGCAGTGAGCAAGGTCCGAGCAGTGAGCAATGCTTCAGTAGCAAAACTGGCATTCTTTTGGAGGCTAAAGAGAGGCTTTTTTGGGGTTTACTGGATTTTGTATGAGTTCCTGCACTGGGATCAGACTTCCCATGTACTAGTTTAGGGAGAAACTTTTGGAAGGACCAGTCTAATAATGCCCAGTCATTGTGCCCCAGCTCTGTCCAATCTGAATTTCATTATGTGATTTGAGATGTCTCACAAGAGAGAAAGATATGCTATCTATCTAAGGACTGAATCACTCTCTAAAAATGCTTATTTCTCTTTGTCTGATAAAATGACTTTAAATTACCCCCCTTTTGTAGATGTGATTCATCTGAGTTGATACCTTTTTCTTAGAGCAGTTATTGCTCCTGAAATAGTTTGTGTGCTTTTTTTATTATTTTCTATTATTCTGAAATCTTCATTTCCCTTTGCTCTTACTGTCTTCCTCTACATTACCTCCTCAGAGAGCCTTTCAGCATAGCAGTTCCCATCACCCCTGTGGAACAAACTGCCAGACTTTTCCTGCTATCATTTTCCATTTCTGATGCTTCTCCTCTGCCTTTTCCATTGCAACTAAGCTAATAAAAGAGTAGGTCATGTGACAAGTGCCTTAAATTCGCTCTGTGCAAGGCAAGCCGCAGGCACCCAGTGTCTGGCAAAATCGAGTCCATGATGTATCCTGTCTGTGACCTTGTAGTGGGTTCGTGCTGGCTGGGTGCCAGACACCCACCAAAGCCACTTCTGCCTCCCCCACACAGCTGGACAGGGAAGAGAAAATATAACAAAGGGTTCATGAGATGAGATAAGGACCAGGAGAGATCACTCATCAAATACTGTCATGGGCAAAACAGGCTTGAATTAGAGATATTAATTGAATTTGTTGTTAAGAAAATCAGAGCAGGATAATGAGAAGAGAAGTAAAGTAAGACCTTCTCTGCACTCTTCCCTCCTTCTCTCTTCCTCCCCCAGTGCCACAGGGAGAAACAGAATGGGGATTATGGTCAGTTCATCACACATTGTTATTTCCACTGCTTGAGGAAAGGAGTCCTTTCCTTGCACAGTATGGAGTGCCTCCCACAGGAGACAGTTCTCCATGAATTTCTCCAGTGTGAGCCCATCCCACAGGCAACAATCCTCCTCAAACTGCAGTCATGTGGGTCACTCTTCCACAGGGTGCAGTCCTTCAAGGACAGGCTGCTCCACTGTGGGTCCCCCATGGGATCACAAGTCCTACCAGAAACCTGCTCCAGCGTGGGCACCTCTCTCCATGGGTCTGCAGGTCCCTACCAGGAGCCTGCTCCAGCACAGGCTTCCCATGGGGTCACAGCCTCCTCTCAGGCATCCCCCTCTCCAGCATGGATCTCCTCCGTGGGCTGCAGGTGGATTTCTGCATTGCTGTGGAGCTCCATGTGCTGCAGGGGCACAGCCTGACTCACCATGGGCTGCACCGTGGGCTGCAGAGAAATCCCAGCTCTGGTGCCTGGAGCACCTCCTGGCCCTCCTTCTGCACTGACCTTGGTGTCTGCAGGGCTGTTCCTCCCACATATCCTCGCTCTGCTCTTCTCTGGCCACAATTACAGCTGTGCAGTGACTTTTTTTGCCTCCTGTAAAATCTGTTATCCCAGAGGTGTCACCACCATTTCTGATGGGCCCGGCCTTGGCCAGCAGCATGTCCATCCTGGAGCTGGCTAGCATTGGCTCTGCTGGAAGTGGAAGAAGCTTCTGGCAGCTTCTCACAGAAGCCATCCCTGTAGCTCCCCTGCTACCAAAAATGGCTGTACAAACCCAATTCAGAATTCTATAAGCCATTCCTTAATCTGCTTTAGTTTTGTTTTGCAAATGAATATATAACACCTATATTAGATTTTCTCCTTTACTTCAAAGCACAAATGCACTGAATAGACAAAAGAAGCAAGCTAGCCAAAATTAAAAACTTAAAAATTTTGACAGGAAAGGCTATTTCTAAAGGTTCTTAATTTAAAATACAAACAAACAAACAACAACAAAAAAGGATAATTTATCTGGAAACTTTCATTATTATTCCATTTTTTTGTTTTCCCCATTTTGACCATATTTAAGGCAATCTTACAATTTTTAAAATTTAAAAACGTCCAAGAAAACACAGGAAAAAGTGTGAAGCAAGAGAATAAAGAAATATTGAAGCCAAATGAACTAAATTGGTAAAAAACTCTCCATTTTCTATACACTTCCTTTTTAAAGACAGATTCAGTCTCCATAAAAATTGATTTAATCATGTAACAATTTGTAAATTTTACTTTGCTCTATTAAAATAAGATTCACTGAACTTGAACAGCATTTCAAGAAAATAATTTTGGCAATGAATTGTTGAAAGACAGATCAAAAAACCCTCATGGAGGTGGAAGGAGGTGCTTTAGCCAGCTCTTTCCTGATGTGAGTACATTTAGGAGGTGGAGACTATGAAAAGCACATGTAGCAAGGCAGCCTGAAGGCAGAGTAGGTGAAAGAATAAGATATTGGTCATGTTCTGTCTAAGCTACAGACAATAATAATTTTTTTTCAATATTTTGAGATCTTGCATGTAAACACACAAAAGATCTGGTTTAAATATAAGTAACTTGATAGAAAGAATAAAAAACTCTGTCATCTGTAAGCAGATTTACCAAACCAATTAAATGGGATAATGAAAAAATATGTGCTTTCCAACATGTCACCCCACCTAAGTCATGAGGGGAACAATGGAGCCACCAATGCAATTAGATGCAACCTACTGATGGCAGCTTGTAATTTATTTATTGTGCACATGCACTTTTCCCTCTATAAAACAGTAGGAGTGTCTGACTAAATCCATTATGTAAATCTCAGCATCTTTTCACTTGCACTTAAAAACTATTATTTTTCTTTGAGGCATTTATAGTCACTTTTGCCTGAACTTGATACAATTAAAATCCAAGTGCTCTGCAATTCTACAAGCACTGTAGTTAGGTACCTGATTTGAAATAAAACTTACACACAAATAAGGCACAGAGGTGTTTGTGTAGGTGTTTGATATCAGAGATCTTAACTCACATTCAGAATTACATTGTTTAACATCAGCAATAGAGCAGTGTATTCAGGACCAAAAATAGAATGCAGAAATAAAACTTAGAAAAAAATAATGTTGCTGGATAAGAAAATAAACTGTATTAAGATCAAGGCTGGTACTACACTTTCTCTGAACTGGTTTAAGATCCTAGAGAGTTCTTGCTGTTGTTTTTGATTTAGAGTAACATTGTCTTCAGCATCCTGCTCTGGGTATTCCTTCAGGACAGTTGTTCACTTAGGATCAAATTTCCAAGACAGTTTGTCCTACATAGCTGTGATATAACTAAAGAGCTGAGAAATATGTTCAAAAGTACATATAACCAGGAATGTAAATGCTCACATCCACTCCTCTTCAGCAGCATTTTGTGGGTACAAGGACATTTGTGTGTCCTTAAAGCTTTTGAAAAGTACTAAATACAACTTTGTCAAAAGCACCTAAATGACACCTAAATCAAAACCAGCTAAATTCAAAGTCTAGGTCCCATTTTCAGAATCAATTTAGAAACTTAATTCTAACATTTTAAGAGCATAAGAACATCTATGGTGGTCTGAACAAGCATCTTTGTCAGTTCATAGTGTGCCTCCAGTGTGATTTAATGTGGATGCCTCAGGAACAGTACCAGCTAATGTTAGGCTCTGTGACTCCTGAAATATTTAATTTGGTGTGAGTTAATCTTTGAAGTCTGCTGTGACTTA